TGTTGTCATCATCATTCTCAAAACATTTACTTTCTACTGAGCCCTTAATATCAGCTCCTCATTTTCCCCCTCCCTCCCCACTACCACTTCCCTCATGAACCCTTCCTAATTCATAAATTATTATTATTTTGTCATATCTTACACTGTCCACGTCTCCCTTCACCCACTCTTCTGTTGTCCACCCCCCCAGGGAGAAGGTTATATGTAGAGCCTTGAATTGGTTCCCCCTGCTTCGAAATGTTTTTAAGCTGCTGCCTTTTCTCTCGTAAATTACTGTGTCCTTTTCTCTCTTGGGAGGGATATTGATGTTATTTATCTCGAGTCCTTTTAAGTTATGAATGCTTTGCGAGTTGTACATTTTTCTGAGTTTCGAGCCTTATATTTTACATAAAGGAGTTAAGTCATTTTGTTTTTTAAACCAGTGGCATGCTGTCAATAAGACTAGATAACTCATTTTAAAAGATTGTTCTAGTTGTGGAAGACAAAGCCAAATGGAGCTGTGGCTCTTGTGCTTGGGAACCCATCTCCTGATGACCTAGTGTGTCACCTTGAAGGTCTGTGATTTGGGCCTTGACAGTCATAGATGGTGACTTCTTTCAGGTGAGCATGTAGCAGGAGCCAGGGCGCCTACCCGAGAGGGCTGTGGTGACATATGAATGCAGAGCCCCAGTGGACGCCCGTGTGTGCATCCAAGCCTCTTGTCCCTGTGTCTCCACAGCCTGACTCTTAGGTGGTTTGGGGGTCAGACCTGGTTAAGCAGTGGGGGTTGGGGTGGGAGGCTGGTGGGAGAGCAGTGGGTGCGGCAGGTAAGTTAGGTTAACTAGGTAGCCATTCACAGTGCCTTACATATAGTCACTGCTTTAGACGCTGGTCACTGAATGGCACCTTGTTTTTTCTTTGAAAGATCTTAGTCCTGGAAGCAAAAGTGGCTACTCAAACTGGGTGGGCTGAAAAAGGCAGACTTGGCAGAGGTTGCTAAGGAGCAGCAACTGATGAGCGAGGTTTGGTGGCAGACTACGGAAATCTGCGGAGGGCATTTCACTTCTGTGATAGTGCAGTGGTTTGGACCAGACATGGCTTTGTGGTTTTCAAGCTTCTATGTTTTTTGGAAAATGGAACTTGCTTTGCATTTGAATTTATCTTATATTCAGCCCAGTATGGTAAATTAGGTCAAATACGTTCTTTTGCACTTGATCAAGGCATTTCTTGCTATCATCACTCCTTTAGGGCCAGCTGGGCGTTTTCCCAGCTCCTCCATTTGGATAATTGTACTCACAATTCAGTGCAGCTTAAGTCAACAAATGTCTGTTTAATGCTCACTGTGTGCCAGAGGTTGCTAGTTTTTGGGGGCGGGGGAGGGCATGCAGATAGGCAAGGACAGAGGAACTGAGAGCGATGGACCCTTTTGGAGTGAGGGTATGTGTGGAACGTGAATATCCTGTGCCCAGATGGGTTAGGCATGAAGTGGTGTGGACATTGAGTGTTGGTGGAGTCTAAGTGTGCATATGTTGGAGAAAAGGAAGGAGCTGTGGGAGGCAGAGAGCAGGTCATAGAAAGACTCAGGTGTCCTCTCTGAACTGTGATGTGGTATATAGAACGCTCTGTTATTAGTGCAACACAGGGTCACACCCAAGGCTTGTTCGTTTTGTAATACCTTGTTAATAGCTTGTTCGGAGCATAACTCACCGCACCCACTGCCCGACAAGTCGCTCAGTGATCTATAGGACAGAGTAAAATTGTTCTCGAGGGCTTCTGAGGCTTTATGGGAGCAGAGTTAGATAACATAAATGAAAAACATACGATGTTTGGTAGGTGCTCACAAAATGCTCTTATTTGTTCTCCTTGACTCCTCTCTCCTACAGTATAAGTTCTTTGAGGGCAGTCTTCAGGATTTTTGCTTTGGTTTTAGATATGAGTGAACCCCAGGTTACTTAGTATAAATGCTGAAATAATGGAACATCTCAGGACGTTATTGTGGCTTATGGGATAAGTGAGATGTAATATTTAAATGTTTTGGACATCACATGGCTGGTGTATGAATTATGGCATTTGCCTGATGTTTTAGTTTTTCTAACTATGTTGGACCAATGTGTAGGCAACTTGAATGAGAATATTAAAAATACAGGCCTCATGGAATTTATTTATTTATTTATAAACGGTCAATTTCCCATTTGCGTTGTTGTGAATTTATGTAAGGGTTTGCATTTTGTACTCTTGCCACTTGAGCAATTACAGTCGGTTTTGAAAGTGTAACTATAGTTACCTAGTAGAAACCTGTTGACCAAGGCAGTCTTCCCCCTTTCCTAGCACTTCTGTTATTTCTGAAAAGGGGGCGCCAAAGGCCTCTTTTCCTAAAAAGCTAAATAAGAGCAGGAGCTAATTTGCAAGCGATTTTGAAATGGGTTTTAATATTGAATTTCTCTTTTCTTGTTTATTTTGGGGCCCTCTTGAACTTCAAGGGTGGGGGGAGGGCAAGCGCAAGAGAGTGTGTGTGTGTGTGTGTGTGTGTGTGTGTGTGTAGGTGTTAAAAAGGAAAAGCCAGAAATAACTCCCAAGCCCTATGTTTACCTGTCCTACTTGTTGTAACACTTAAAACAAAAACACCTGTTTTTGATAATGTGGGGGGTCTTCCCCCATTTTCCGTTTTGTTCTAAGTGCCTACAGATATAGTATGTAATTTCCACGTAACAGAACATCTATCGGCATGTCGTTTCTAAGTAGGAAAAAAGCTTTTGATAAAGGAAGATGTACCTGGGAGAAATATTTTTTATTTCTTAAAATATTGGGTAGAGCTAAGCAGGAGGAAATATATATAGCTAAGAAAATAAAAAGAGTAGAATGAATTTATTTACTATGATATTGCCAAAGAGAATGGCCCAGGAGAAAAAACAGGGCCAATAATTTTAAAGAAAGACGCCTCTTTAAGGTGAGCCTGGTTTCTCCTGTTTAACTATAATCTTGCCCATTATTCCAGAGTTGTTAAGCGGATGTAAATACCCACTCTCCCCTGCCCTTTTTAATGCGTATTTCGGGCCTCTGGGTTTTTTTACCCTTGGGCAGAGATATTCTTGGACCAGGTTGGAAATGGCATGCCTGCTGTTGGCTCTGCAGGAGTGTGTGTGTGTGTGTGTGTGTGTGTGTGTTCTTCTCACTCCCCTCAAGCCCCACCCCACCCCTGTGCATTGGCAATTTTCTTGTGTCTTTTTGACTGCTGTCCTTTGTTTTCCACACAATCTGCTATTTTTATTATTAAGCCCAAGACTGAGACTGGCTCTGTCTAACCTGTGCCAGGAAACTGAAACTTGGGTTGCTTTTTCCCTTTGATCTCTTGAGTTTCAAAGTAAAAGTATGATTATTGATAATTTGGTTCTGTCTCCAGATTCCCAAGGAATTTGGAGATTTGGTTTTGATGAATTTATACTTGCATATATGCTAATTCTGAGTTGCATTGCCTTTATTATATCTGATTTTTCTCATTTCAAACAGCTTTTAAAAAATATTTTTTAAGGTTTCCTTTTATTTTTAAAGGAGGGGAAAAGTAAGTAGGGTTGCCTTTTGCTCCCAAAGCCTAAATGAATAGTCAGTGCTTGTAATGCTGGTCTCCACTTGCTGCTTCCCACTGCTTTTAGCTGTGATGTATCCGGTCCTGTGAAGGTAATGATCCTCAACTGCAGCAATATCCCGTAACAGGAGTATCTGTCATATTCATTGGGATTACCATGTTCATTGATTTGTGTCTGTAAATCTGCTGTTTCTACCCTTTAAATTTGATCTATAATTGGACCTCCTTAAATGGTTCAGATAAGGTAGTCTGTTATTTTCTCAATGCAGCATTGCTGTCAGCTCCCCCTTTTTCATTATACATTCAGCAGACTTGAGAAAATCAGCAGGACACCTCATTTGAAACTGTTTAATCGCTGCCTTTTTCCTTTGCTAAACCATTGAGGTGGTCAAGCGATGTACACAAATCATTTTAAATAGAAAATATGGTTTTCTCGGTGACCCAGCTAAATAGATAGTGTTATGCAAAACAAGTTAAAAAGTAATAAATGCCAAAAAAATCTTCTAATTGGAGTAAAAAATTGTGGGCAACTCGGTCCTCTCTCCAAAAGTAGAGTGTCCTGAAATATTGCCAGCACCCTGGAAAGACAAGATGATGGTTTTCTAAAGATTCTCTGGTTTCGGAACAAAGCAAGTTTACATTTTCAAATAGTGCCGAGCTGCCTTTTACATCCATTCAAAGGGAACCCACACTTATTTGTAATGCGTGTACATCCTACTTTTGTGAGGATAAATTTGCTATCCTTAATATCTATGCAGCATAACCTTTCAGCCATTTGCTATTGTGATAATAAATTTTTGTTTCTTTGTCTGTCATTTTGTCTACTCAGCTGTTACTCTTCAAAGTACAAACTAAAAATAATAGCTCCAAATAAATGCCACATAATAAAGTGTTTTACAGTTGTCGCTGGAATAACCTGGTGGCGGCAGCTTGCAGTCCTAATACCATTGCTGGTGCGGTAGTTTCTTCCTTGTGTCAAGGTGACTGTACCAGGACAGTCATTAAAACAATCTATTCTTTCTAACTGACTTGGTATTTAGCTCTCTACCCAGCAGCCTGCAAAGGCACAGTTGTGCAGCCTGAGACAACAGCGTAGGTTATATGAAATTATGTGGCATTCGCTTTTTGAAAAAATACAAAATTCTCCATAACCTCATTTTCATGCTTCAGCATTTTGCTGTGAATAATTTACAATGATTCCTGTCAGAGGTAGAAATAGGGCCAGTTGCAGGTTTGCCCAAGGTAGTGGTAAGTGTGACTCAAGTCTTTTGAAGAGTGCTGTTTACCTGGTTTTATGGCCGTACAGGATTAGTATTGACATTAGACTTGAATGTGACACTGGGAGTGTCTTGCCATTTTTGCTGCCCTGAGATAAACTTGAGGTAGAGAAGTTGGGATTTGGTAAAAATAGATTAAAAATGCAATCTTTTCCCTGCAGGTTCTGGTTCCTTGGCAGCAATGGCTGTATTTGAAGATAAGTTTCGGCCAGACATGGAGGTATGTGAAGTTGCAGCACTTGTATTGTCTTTCACATTTTCCCAGCTGTGTGCCCATCACTGACAAATTACTTGCTGGTTCCTCCAGAGCTTTACAGCACTGTCGTTCGTTGGGATGCCCCATGGCGCAGGCACTTAGGGTTGCTGAGAAGACCGCTTTCTTGAGAAAGCATCATTTTTAAATGAGATTAGGATTCTGTTCTCATTTCTCAATGTGAAAATTTATTCCCGTATCAGCATTATTTTCTGTTTGGGGTTCTTAAGTACACAGAGGAAAATACGATATACTAGGTCACTTAGAAAAAAAGAGAAGGGAAAAATAGACTTCCAGTCTTCTAACTGAAGGAGTGGCATTCCTAAGGCTCCCGCGATCCATTAGGACTAACAAAGGTATAGGGAGGAGGACTCCGTGATGATTTTCGTTTAGAAAATCACTTCAGTAATGTCAAGCCCTCCTTTAGGCCACATTAATCTTTTCAAATGTTCTTGAAAGCTATGTCTACTTCCAACCGATCGGGGCCTCCATATGTTAAAGAAAAACGGGGTGGCAGCGCAAGCGGAGTCCGAGGTCTAATAAGTGACTTCGCCCTCTGCTAAAGCAACTTTCTATTAGTGAAGAGTTTGAATTTGAAATGAGTCAAAGGCCAAGGATTTAATAATGGTGTCATTTGAGAAAATAAAGGGGAATGTGAACGTCCCTTCAATGAAACTCTTCTGATATTATCGATCTGAAAATGTGCTTCTTGGATCAATTTATCTTTAACTCAGACACTTAGTGCTCTGCATTAGCTAACTGGGAGATCTTGAAATAGGTTGAACAAATTCCCACTTAAGGTTGATAATGTGCAGTTATAATTCCAGATGACGAGAATTTGACTCAGAATAATAATTCATTAGAATCTCTGGATAGGGCAGGTGGTTAACAGTGCTCAGGTGCTAACCTAAAGGTTGATAGTTCCAGTCTGCCCAAGAAGCTCCTAGAAAGACAACCCTAATGATCTACATCCTGGAAATGTCTCATTAAAAATCCTACGGAGTAAAGTTCTAATCTGACACACATGGGGGTTGCCATAACTTGGAATCAGCAAGTAATTAGCAACAACAAATTATAATCACTTTATTAAGGTTAAAGTAGTACCTGCTTCTTGGTGGTTATGTGAGTTTAAAAATAAACAGAAGGTAAATAAGAGTATAACAGCTGCCCATAAGTTAATACGTTTAGAAATAAAAACAGAGGTTAATAGTGGAGACGAAAAACATTCATTGTGAAGACAAAGTAAGTGACAGTGCTGGCCATACTACTTGATCCGGTGCACTCGAAATGATTTGATGTTAGTGAAGGCCTAGACTGCCCAGGAGAATTGTGAGGAAGCTGGGGCACTGGCCCTCTTGAACTGGTGGAAATAGGGACACACTGGTTTTAAATTTCCAACTTTTGTGTTTTCCCTCTTAACAGGGAGGCTTTATTTTGTCTTCTTGGAGCCCTCCATCAACTTTCCTTTCTTGCTTATTTTGAATTGCTTATTTGACAACTGTCTGTTGTGGGAACAGATTCTGGGCAGGCCTCAAACAGAAACCCAGCAGAGGAGCGATGTGCCCACTCACATCTAGCATGGATCACTGCAGTTGCCATTGCTGCACACTTCTTGGAGCACTGCATTCGGATAGAACGATTCAGGCTATTATAACTAGGAATTGTTTGCCAAACAAAATGTTTAGGCCAGGTGCATGACATCAACTCTTTGGCTTTATTGTTATGACAAATTCAAGAAAGCTCTAAGTCCCCACCCCCCCTTTCCACTACAAACCTGTGCCTTGGACAGGGTGTATGTGGAATGAAAGCCCTACCCTACTTGCTTTCCCATCTCTGTGGCTGCACTGCCCAACCTATGAGCCATTATGATGGAGTACTTGAAATGTGGTTCGTGGGAATTAAGAGGTGCTGTTACGTATAAGACATGCCACATTTTGAAGACTTAGCCCCCCTTTTGAAATATCAGTGATTTCTTTATCGATTACATGTTTAAATGATACTATTTTTAATATATAGAATGAAATGGAAACAATACAGCTTCACCTCTTTTAACTTTCTGATTTCTGAGTGTTTTATTATGGTTTGGGTGTGAGTTTAAAGAACAAACTCAACTTACATCCTTTTTGTCATGGTATACTTTCCATTACTTGGGCGCCGTGTTTCCTCTGGCCTATCTTTCCTGCCCCTGCCTGCCTTCTGGCATGTGTTTTGGGGCAGCTGCTGCCTTCTTGGTCTCATGTGGTTGAATGATTTGAGGAGCACTTCCCCTGGTGGTATACATTTCGTTTGTTTTGTAGGTCTGTCTATTGTTTGGCTGAAAGGTAAGTTCAATTCCAGGTTTTAAAGGATATCTCAGGGCCCTGGTCTCAGGGGCTACACCAGTTTCTATCAGACCTATAAGACTGGTCTTTTTTATGGTTTTGAATTGTGTTCTGCCATTTTTTTCCCACTCTGACTAAGACTTTCTGTTGTGATCCTGATCAGAGCAGCTGACACTGGTAGTCAGGCAACATCTAGTCCTTTTGGGCTCAGGGTAATGAAGGTGATGTATTGTGTGGTGGTTCATTAGTCCTTCGGGTCTTTGCTTTTTTCTTCACTCTTTTTTTGTTCTGGATGGGAGGAAACCAGAAGTTGTATGTCTTTTAAAACCAGTCACTACTTAACCAAGTAGGATGCATAGCACTGTCGTTTGTGGACAATGTTATACCAATTAACTTGTATGTCTCCCAGCACTGTGATCCTAAGCCTTACTCATTCCCTCACAGTGTTTGGTTGTGGCTAAGAGGTTTGTATGACTTTGTCATGTAAACCCCCCCCCCCCATGCTCTTTTACGTATATGGATATATCTGTAGCCCATGCAAATGCATTTGTAGAAAGAGCCTCTTTCACATCTACATATGCCATCCTACACCTCTTCAGCTTACATATTTATGTACTCACTCAGAAATTGTTTGTATTACTGTTATTATAAGGTTGTTTATGTAATAGTATTTATCAGTGTTACCTTTTATTTACTGACTGTTTACAATCGAGGAGCCCTGTTCCGTGTAGTGGTTATGTGTCTGAATGGTTGGCAGTTTGAAAGACTGGGGTTTCTATTCCTGTCAACATTTAGAGTCTTGGAAGCCCATGGTGGTGGGGGTGAGGGGGCGCTGTGAGTCAGCATTGACTCAACGGCAGTGAGTTTTTAGTTTATAACAGTGATCTCATACTTTTTAATAGGTGGCTATTTGTGTGGAAACATTTGTTACATCTGTGGATCTCATATTTCTATTGGACTAGGACTAGGCTAGCATATTTCTTGAACTTGTCATTTGCATACTATACTTATACATCTAATGCCATAATTAGATGCTACCTATATTACTTGAAAAAAAAAGAACTTTTATAAATCTAGGTACAATTTGCATAGAGCAAAATACAGATTTTAAGTGTATACTTTGATAGGCTTTGGTATATGTAATTACCTAAGTTACTGTCACGCTCATCCAAATATAGAACATTTCTTTACCTCAGGAAATACTCTTTTCCAGTCTTTTCTCTTCCCCTCACTCCTGCAGCCAATTCACTTCAGCTTTATAATTTAAATCTACTTTTAAAATGTAATTTATGAAATTCTGGGATTGGTGTGCTGGCTATATATATATATATATATTTTTTTTTTTTTTTGGACACATGATCATGAGTATATACTAATGTAAAAGCATAGTTGATGTTCCACTATCATATGTAACTTAGACAAAGGACAAACTTTTTACTGCCATGGAGTGTATTCCAACTCAAAGACTCTCTAGGGCAGAGTAGAACTGTCCCTGTGTGATCCTAGATGGTAAACTTTTACTCTGACTGGCCTCATGGCTGCTGCTGTAGAAGACAGTGCACCTTGAATTTTGGTAGACATGTATGCGCGCATTTCTGCCCTGCTCTGTTCTTTCCTGCTTGCTCTTTGAATATACGGGTAGTTCACACATTTGAGTTAAGATGAGCTGTATTTAATAGTCTCTCTCATAGCTTAACATTAGTTAGGGAGCCCTGGTGGTGTGGTGGGCTACATATTGGGCTGCGAACCTCGAGGCTAGCAGTTCAAAACCACCAATCTGCCACGAGAAGAAAAGATTCACTGTTTTGGAAACCCAGAGAAGCAGTTTTATTCTGTCATATAGGGTTGCTTTGAGTCAGAATTGATTGGCTGGCTATGAGTTTCCTTCTTGTTAGTAAAATGTACCACATACAGTATTGTAGTACATCCTTTACAGATGTTATTTTTCTCAGATTTTCACTTGCAGATACTCACAGAGACACTGATACTGGTGTGGAGTAACTGATAATAAAAGGCCGTAGTAATGAACAATAAAAAAGAGGTATTCCGCTTATGTCGCAGTCTACGTAAACAGTGGTGTCATCAAGCAGAACTCTGCCATAATTTGGAGACTATCTGCATTATGTCCTTGCTTGCTTTGAAATTCTTGTTGCCAGTGTCTGTCAGAAGTGCCTTCAGCTTCCTCATTTGTGTCCCTGTGCTCCAGGGCATACTCCTGGCCCCTTTGCTTTGTGGCTGTGGGTAATCTTCCACGGCCAGGGAGAGAGTGACTTTCTTGGCAGCAGAGACTGTGAAATGTGCTCTTGTTCAATGTGTTACTTGAATTGAGATTGGATAGCTCTGAGCCAAACCAAAATCTGAGTCATCTGGGAGATAAAGGTGAATTTCTCTACTCCATCTGGAAAGTTCTGATGATAACTAGGATAACCCAAATAATTCATAGCATTGAGGATAGATTCAATAAAGCAAACACCTCTGTTAGATACACTAAGTAAGCACATTAAGGAAGACTAAACAAAAGGAGTAAAAAGGCATGTGCTCATTTGGAAAGGATAGGCCAAAAAAGCAGAACAGTGAAACCTGCCTAAGATTCCTAAATGCCGAAGGTGAGCCACTGCTGTTGCAAGTGTTTGGAGCCAGTGACTT